AACCAATCAGTTTTTAACCTCAGCTTGTTCAATTAAGCTTTGGCAATAAAACCTGGAAGCGGATTGGCTTCTATGCAGAAGTGGGTGTGATTTTGCACTCTCCAGCTTTAGTGAATAAACCCCCATGTGTCTACAATATTGAACTTTTTTACAACATTCTAATTTTCTGAGATAGTGAATTTTGGGTTTTAAAAATGTCTGATGGGGATTCTGTAGAAATAGAGCCTAGCACAGGAGAAAAAATAGTATGCATGTTTGCACTACAATATTTCTGGAAAATAAATTATATTTTCATTTCTAAAAATGAATAAAGGAACACTGCCATCATTTAAAAGTTACAAAGAATACAACAGAATATGTAAAAATGAAATCAAGGCCACAAAAATTGAAAACAAACATCCGGGTTGCCATAGAGAGTAGGACAAACCCAAAACATTTTACAGATATAGTAAAAAAGGTCAGGTTTGAGCTAGTAGACCCTTTCAAATCCAGAGTTGGTGACTGGGAACAAAGGGAAGGCAAATTTAATAAATACCTTCTTTAGCTCTGTGTTTACAAAGGAGCATGGGGGTGCTCAAGTCTTTAATGGGGATAGTATTGACATAGCCCCAAATGATCCTCAATGATTCAATATTGACATGGTCCAGAAACATTTAGACAAAATAGAAGCAAATAAAGCACCTGGGCTAGATGGTTTACATCCAAGGGCCCTCAAATAGTTGAGCTCTGTTATATCTAAGCCATTATTTTAAATTTTCAGAGACTCTTTAAACACTGGCATGGTATCACTGGATTGGCGTAAGGCCAACGTGATGCCTTTTTTAACTGGGGATCAGAGTCTTTACCTAGTAACTACACACTGATTAGTTTAACTTCTCTAGTTGGGAAGTTACTTGAGAGTTTAATAAAAGACCACATGGAAGAGTTCTTGCTAGAAAATTATATTTTAAAGAATAGTCAGCATGGATTCATGAAAAACCAAAGTCAAACAAATCTGATTTCTTTTTATGAGGATGTAAGCAAAAGGAGTGGCTGTGGATATAGTTTTCGCCAAAGCATTTGACACCGTTCCCCACAAATGGTTAATGTGTAAGTTAAAATCTACAGGTTTAGAAAATTCAATTTGCAAATTGTTAGAAAACTGGATAAAAGACTGCTTTCAGAGTCATACTCTGAATGGTCTAAAGCTGTAAGTGGTGTACCTCAAGGTTTAATGTTGGGAATCTTACCTTTCAACATATTTATAAAGGATATAGGGTTTCGTATTAAAAGCCATTTCAGTCTTTACAGATGACACCAAGCTATGCAGTGGCATAATATCATTACAGGTTGCCTCCAACTTGCAATCTGATCTCAATGTACTATTTAATCGGGCAACTAAGTGGCAAAAGGGGTTTAATAAATGTAAAGTTATGCACCTGGGGGCTGAAAAATATACATGTATCATACATACTAAGAGGAGAATAGCTGGGGGAGTCAATGACAGTAAAAGATTTGGGTGTTCTGGTTGATCATAGAGTTAATAAAAGCATGCAATGCCAAGCCACAGTTTCTAAAGCTAGCAAAATCCTTCTAGAGAGAGAGGGAGAGGAGAGGGAGAGCGCGAGTGTCAGGGCTCCCAGGTGTGACCAGAGATGTGTGACTGACGCAGGGAAACGCAGACCTCAGATATGTTATAAACAATATAATTTATTAACACTAACAATACAAACATAAACGCAGTGCAATACTAAAACATAATACAGTGCAAACAAACCAAACCAAACCACCCACAGATAACAGTACATACAAGCAAGCGTCGTCAGGCAGGCCGGGTCAATATCAATAGGGCAGGTAGGTACAGGGGGAGCAAGCGGAGATTGGTCAGGGTCACAAGCCAGGGATCAGAACAGGTAGCAAGCAGCGTGGTACAGAGGGTCAGACAGAGGGATGGTCAGGAGCGAGCCGGGATCAGAGCAGGAGAAGTCAGCAGCGGTTCAGAAACAGGATGCAGGACAGAAACAGGATACAGGGCCCAGGACAAACACACACCAAGGCAGAGTCTGTGGGTCTGGCCATCCCTTAAATACCCCAGCATAATCAGTTACAGGTGTTAGCTGGCTGCAAAGTTGAGTCTCTGATTGCTGGGAACACCCGCTGGCCAGCCCTAGTACTGCAGATCAAAAGGCAGGTGAGTCCCATCATAGCTGGCCAGTCCATTCCTGACAGTACCCCCCCCTCAAGGAGCGGCCTCAGGACGCTCCAAACAGTCCTAGCTGGGAAAATGTTCCACCGCCCGGGTCTGGTAACTGGCGGGATATCAAAGACTGGCACACCGGGCAGGACTCCGGGCAGCGGTACATCGGGCAGGACTCCGGGCAGAGGCACATCGGGCTGGACTCCGGGCAGAGGCACACCGGGCAGAGGCACACCGGGCAGGCACACCGGGCAGAGGCACACCGGGCAGAGGCACACCGGGCTGGACTCCGGGCAGAGGCACATCGGGCTGGATTCCGGGCAGAGGCACATCAGGCAGGACTCCGGGCAGAGGCACATCGGGCAGGACTCCGGGCAGAGGCACATCGGGCAGGACTCCCGGGCAGAGGCACATCGGGCAGGACTCCGGGCAGAGGCACATCGGGCAGGACTCCGGGCAGAGGCACATCGGGCAGGACCCCGGGCAGAGGCACATCGGGCAGAGGCGGCACATCAGGGCTACCAGGCGAAGCAGCAGGCAGCGGGCCCCGGGCGGGGCGACAGGCACCGGGCCCCCGGGCGGGGCGACAGGCACCGGGCCCCCGGGCGGGCGACAGGCCTCGGCCCCCCAGCGGAGCGGCGGGCACCGGACCCCCAGGCGGAACTACAGGTCTCGGGCCCTCAGGCGGGGCGACAGGCATCGGACCCCCAGGCGGGGCGACAGGCATCGGACCCCCAGGCGGGGCGACAGGCATCGGACCCCCAGGCGGGGCGACAGGCATCGGACCCCCAGGCGGGGCGACAGGCATCGGACCCCCAGGCGGGGCGACAGGCATCGGACCCCCAGGCGGGGCGACAGGCCTCGGACCCCCAGGCGGAGCGGCGGGCGCCGGACCCCCAGGCGGAACTACAGGTCTCGGGCCCTCAGGCGGGGCGACAGGCATCGGACCCCCAGGCGGGGCGACAGGCATCGGACCCCCAGGGGGGACAGGCATCGGACCCCCAGGCGGGGCGACAGGCATCAGACCCCCAGGCGGGGCGACAGGCATCGGGCATCGGGCCCCCAGGCGGGGCGACAGGCATCGGGCCCCCAGGCGGGGCGACAGGCCTCGGGACCCCCAGGCGGGGCGACAGGCCTCGGACCCCCAGGCGGGGCGACAGGCCTCGGACCCCCAGGCGGAGCGGCGGGCGCCGGACCCCCAGGCGGAACTACAGGTCTCGGGCCCCCAGGCGGGGCGACGGGCATCGGGCCCCCAGGCGGGGGGGCGACGGGCATCGGGCCCCCAGGCGGGGCGACGGGCATCGGGCCCCCAGGGGGGGGCGGCGGGCGCTGGACCCCCATGCGGAGCGGCGGGCGCCGGACCCCCATGCGGCGGCGGGCGCCGGACCCCCAGGCGGAGCTACAGGTCTCGGGCCCTCAGGCGGAGCGGCGGGCGCCGGACCCCCAGATGGAGCGACAGGTCTCGGGCCCTCAGGCGGAGCAACAGGTCTCGGGCCCCCAGACGAAGCGGCGGGCACCGAGTCACCAGGCACAACAGTGGGCACCGAGTCGTCTGGCAAGACTGCGGGCACCGAGTCAACTGGCGGAACAGCGGGCATCGAGTCAACTGGCGGAACAGCGGGCACCGAGTCGTCTGGCAAGACTGCGGGCACCGAGTCGTCTGGCAAGACTGCGGGCACCGAGTCGTCTGGCAAGACTGCGGGCACCGAGTCGTCTGGCAAGACTGCGGGCACCGAGTCAACTGGCGGAACAGCGGGCATCGAGTCAACTGGCGGAACAGCGGGCACCGAGTCGTCTGGCAAGACTGCGGGCACCGAGTCAACTGGCGGAACAGCGGGCATCGAGTCAACTGGCGGGACTGCGGGCACCGAGTCGTCTGGCAAGGCTGCGGGCACCGAGTCGTCTGGCAAGACTGCGGGCACCGAGTCGTCTGGCAAGACTGCGGGCACCGAGTCGTCTGGCAAGACTGCGGGCACCGAGTCATCTGGCAAGACTGCGGGCACCGAGTCGTCTGGGCAGACTGCGGGCACCGAGTCGTCTGGCAAGACTGCGGGCACCGAGTCAACTGGCGGAACAGCGGCGAGTCAAGCGGGCAGGCCGAGTCGTCTGGCAAGGAGCGGGCACCGAGTCGTCTGGCAGACTGCGGGCACCGAGTCGTCTGGCAAGACTGCGGGCACCGAGTCGTCTGGCAAGACTGCGGGCACCGAGTCGTCTGGCAAGACTGCGGGCACCCGAGTCGTCTGGCAAGACTGCGGGCACCGAGTCGTCTGGCAAGACTGCGGGCACCGAGTCGTCTGGCGGAACAGCGGGCATTGAGTCGTCTGGCAAAGACTGCGGGCACCGAGTCGTCTGGCAAGACTGCGGGCACCGAGTCGTTTGGCAAGACTGCGGGCACCGAGTCGTTTGGCAAGACTGCGGGCACCGAGTCAAGTCTGCATCGGTCGTCTGGCAAGACTGGCAAGACTGCGGGCACCGAGTCGTCTGGCAAGACTGCGGGCACCGAGTCGTCTGGCAAGACTGCGGGCACCGAGCGGGCACCGGCACCGAGTCGTCTGGCAAGACTGCGGGCACCGAGTCGTCTGGCAAGACTGCGGGCACCGAGTCGTGGCAAACTGGCACCGAGTCAACTGGCGGAACGGGCATCGAGTCGTCTGGCAAGACTGCGGGCACCGAGTCGTCTGGCAAGACTGCGGGCACCGAGTCGTCTGGCAAGACTGCGGGCATCGAGTCGTCTGGCAAGACTGCGGGCACCGAGTCAACTGGCAAGACTGCGGGCATCGAGTCAACTGGCGGAACAGCGGGCACTGAGTCGTCTGGCAAGACTGCGGGCACTGAGTCGTCTGGCAAGACTGCGGGCACCGAGTCGTCTGGCAAGGCTGCGAGCACCGAGTCGTCTGGCAAGGCTGCGGGCACCGAGTCGTCTGGCAAGGCTGCGGGCACCGAGTCGTCTGGCAAGGCTGCGGGCACCGAGTCGTCTGGCAAGACTGCGGGCACCGAGTCGTCTGGCAAGACTGCGGGCACCGAGTCGTCTGGCAGAACAGCGGGCACCGAGTCAACAGGCACGACAGTGGGCACCGGGTCATCAGGTATCGGATTGTCTGGCTCGACAGCGGGCATCGGGTCACCAGGTATGACAGCGGGCACTGGGTCACCAGGCATCAGGTCATTTGGCTTGCCAGCGGGCACCGCGTCATCTGGCAAGGCAGTGGGCACCGGGTCACCAGGTATGACAGCGGGCTCTGAGTCAATTGGCACGACAGCGGGCACTGGATCAGGTACCGGATCATCTGGATCAACAGCGGGCATCGAGTCAACTGGCCTAATAGGATCGTCGGGCTGGATCAGTTCATCATGCTGAGTAGCGGCATCAGGCTGAATGCAGGCATCAGGCTGAGGAGAGGCTTCAGGCTGAGGAGAGGCTTCAGGCTGAGGAGAGGCATCAGGCTGAGGAGAGGCATCAGGCTGAGGAGAGGCATCAGGCTGAGAGAGGCATCAGGCTGAGGAGAGGCATCAGGCTGAGGAGAGGCATCGGCTGAGAGAGGCATCCGGCTGAAGAGAGGCATCCGGCTGAAGAGAGGCATCCGGCTGAAGAGAGGCATCCGGCTGAGTAGAGGCATCCGGCTGAAGAGAGGCATCCAGCTGAAGAGAGGCATCCGGCTGAGTAGAGGCTTCAGGCTGAGTCACGGAAGGCAGGTTCACCGGTTTGGATACTGGCAGGATGGTATTGGTTGGAAAGAATTTTCGCTTTTTTCTGGTTTTAACTACTGGAGCACTGCAAGTAAACGCAGGTCTGCAAACGAATGGAGCAGCTGGAGACAGAGAAAAACTGGAGGATGGAACAGGAGAGGGAGCAGTTGCTACAGAGGGCTTTTTTACAGGGTTAAAGGCAGGATAGGTGCAGCGAGTGGGAACAGGGTACTGACATGCGGTAGATAGCCAAGTATACTGGGCTGTAACTGGAGGAGCTGGTGGGAATACAGGAGTAGAGTTAGAAGCAGGACTGGGTTTTTGTAAGCTGACTGAGGCTGGGTGCAACAAGTCTGTCCATGTCTGCAGTAGGGGTTGAACAAAGCTGAGCTTACACAAAGCCTGTCTGGTCAATGACTGCACTGCGTTTATACAATCTCTTAGTGTCTGTGGTGAACATGTGGAATAACGCTCCAGAAAGTAACCCACATCATCCTCTAATAACCACACCAGGGACTCAACCTGGTCTGCACTAAATGGTGGCAAAAATTCATCCCTGCATTCGGGGGAACCAGATGAAACCAACTCAACACAAACCTGAATCAATGGCTGCACCATAGGGAAATCTGTGCCCTGATCTACTAGAACATGAGCGAGCCGTATACATTCTAGCAGTTCATCCCGGGGATACTCCTTCAGAGTCTGATAAGCATACTCCCTGTCATCAAGCACTAGCAGAGATAAATACTCAACCTCATCCAGATCCATCCTTCCCATCAACAAGCCAAGATGGCTTCCCTGTGCAGCCACTTCTGGTCAGGATTGGCCTTGGTGTAATGTCAGGGCTCCCAGGTGTGACCAGAGATGTGTGACTGACGCAGGGAAACGCAGACCTCAGATATGTTATAAACAATATAATTTATTAACACTAACAATACAAACATAAACGCAGTGCAATACTAAAACATAATACAGTGCAAACAAACCAAACCACCCACAGATAACAGTACATACAAGCAGCGTCGTCAGGCAGGCCGGGTCAATATCAATAGGGCAGGTAGGTACAGGGGGAGCAAGCGGAGATTGGTCAGGGTCACAAGCCAGGGATCAGAACAGGTAGCAAGCAGCGTGGTACAGAGGGTCAGACAGAGGGATGGTCAGGAGCGAGCCGGGATCAGAGCAGGAGAAGTCAGCAGCGGTTCAGAAACAGGATGCAGGACAGAAACAGGATACAGGGCCCAGGACAAACACACACCAAGGCAGAGTCTGTGGGTCTGGCCATCCCTTAAATACCCCAGCATAATCAGTTACAGGTGTTAGCTGGCTGCAAAGTTGAGTCTCTGATTGCTGGGAACACCCGCTGGCCAGCCCTAGTACTGCAGATAAAAAGGCAGGTGAGTCCCACCATAGCTGGCCAGTCCATTCCTGACAGCGAGAAAGAGGGAGAGGGAGCGCGCGAGAGAGAGCGCGCGAGAAAGAGAGAGAGAGCGTGTGAGAAAGAGAGAGGGAGCACGCACGAGAAGGAGAAGGAGAGAGAGAGCGCGCGCTTGAGAAGGAGACAGCGCGCGGTAGGAGAGAGAGCGCGCGCGGGTAGGAGAGAGAGCTCTCGTGAGGTGAGAGAGAGAGAGAGCGCGCGCGAAGGAGAGGAGGAGAGAGAGCGCGCGCGCGAAGGAGAGAGAGTGTGCGATAGAGAGAAAGAGCGCGAGAAGGAGAGAGAGAGCACGTGAAAGGGAGAGCGAGAGCAAGAGAAAGCATGAGAGAGAAAGAGGGGGGAGAGAGAGGAAGGAGAGAGGGGGGAGAGAAAGGAAGGAGAGAGAGGGGAGAGAGAGCGTGAAGAGAGAGAGAGAGCGTGTGAGAAAGAAAGAGAGAGCGCGAGAAAGAGAGCGCACAACAAAGAAAGATCGATAAAGAGAGAGAGGGAGCGCGAGAAAGAGAGAGAACGAAAAAAGAGAGAGCGAGAAAGAGAGAGAGAGTGCGATAAATAGAGCGCAAGAAAGAGAGAGAGAGCATGAGAGAGAGAGCGTGAGAAAGAGAGAGAGAGAGCGTGAGAAAGAGAGAGAGCGCGAGAAATATATGATGAAATGTTAGAGGAACTTATAGGTAAAGTTGATCCACAGAATAACCAACTGCTTCTTGGGGGATTGGGAAGGATTTTTTTCCCCGATGGAGCAAATTGGATCATGCTTTATGGATTTTTTGCCTTGCTTTGCATGAACTGTGGGTATAGGATTGTGTATATGTATGTTTTCTATGTATGTGTGTGTTTTTTTTTTTTTTATTTAATTGAACTGGATGTACTAGTGTCTTTTCAACCAGATTACCTATGTATGTAATGTAACTATGCATACCAGTTGTCTAGTTTCCACTTTAAAAATCTTAGATATAATTGTGGGGTTCAGCTACAAATGGAGCTTGCAGAGAGGTCAAATAAGCCACATGTAAGGTTAAAGGCTACCTGCCAATGTTTATTCATGGCAAAAAAAAAAAAGCAAAAAAGTCCAACATAAGACACGTAGGGGTAAAGATCACTGTCCAAAAGCAAAAGGTTCAGCATACAGCTGTTAAGCTTTCTGGCTAGTAAATAGACCACCCTGGGTCTGCTTCAGATCTGAAAACATGTTGCTTTCACAGCTTGTCTCCTTCCACTGCATCAACAATGAAATTAACACAGGGAAGGAGCAATAATACCCCAGGTGAGGAGCAAGGTGTGGTCAGGGCTTAACCCCCTGCCTCCTGCTCCAAACTTTTTACTGCCATCCATTTACCTCATGAACCACAAAATCTTACACCCCATCCACAACTGACAGGGGCTGTTTGTCACATACACCCCCCCACCCCTCTATGTTTGAATCCATGGGTTCAAACATCAGCTATCAAACAGTGTGTTCTGGATAGAGCATCTGCATTGTTCTGGTTATGACCAGCCTTGTGCTCCACTTTAAAAGAAAAGTCTTGGAGAGCCAGGAACCAGCGAGTAACCCTTGCATTATGGTTCTTAGCCTGTGTCATCCATTTTTAAGAAGTAGTAGAGCCTCCAAGGCCCACTTAATGGCCAAACACTCCCACTCCACAATACTATAATTTCTTTCTGCTGAGGTCAGCTTCTGACGTAAATAGTCCACTGGGTGTTTTTCACCGACTACCACTTGGGACTAGACAGCCTCCAGACCGATACCTGATGCATCGGTCTGGACCACAAACTCTTTAATGAAGTCTAGGGTCACCAACACAAGCTGTTTACACAGGGCCTCCTTCAGACTTTGGAAAGCTGCTTTGGCCTCAGGGTTCCACTGAACCACTACAGAAGAGATTTTGCCTTTGGTGAGGTCAGTTAAGGGTGCTAGCATTGTGGCAAAGTTTGGGATGAAACTCCGATAATACCTAACCCTGCCTAGTAACGTTCTTACTTGTTTCTTGGTGGCAGGAGCAGGCCAGTCTCTTTTGGCTTCTACCTTATGGACATGGGTTTGATTAGGCCAATTGTGTACCCCAGATACTAGGCCTCTTCTAACCCTATGACACACTTCTTTTGGTTTGCTTTTAAACAGGCATTTCTAATGGAATTTATAAAGTATAAATAGAGAAAGCGAGCGTCAAAACTATAAGCCGCTCTTGCACCAAAAAGGCAAACAAAATACACCTCCAAGAAAAAGTAAATAAAAGAAAGGTGCAGCGCTTAAAAATAAATGATTAAAAATGCACATATAGACATTAAAATCTTAATGATATGCCCGCATAAAGTGACAGTGCAAATCAGGTGTAAATAAATCTGCAATAAGGTGCTATAATACGTGACAATCGTGAGCACTTATTAGTGCTAAATTACACCACAGATAATGCTATATAAAGTCCACAATTTAATAAAGGTGAAGATCCATCAAATGGTCTCAATCAGGTGATCAGTATACTTCTAGTAGTCATTCAGGTGACGTGCCAGAGTTAAAGGTTAAGATTGCTCACTCACCAGAAGCAAAATCATAATAGGCATTTGTATATATGATTAATCAACCGGAGGTCCCCTTTAAGGATATCAGCAGCCTGGTCTGGTCTGGAGAGATTTCCTTCCCCTGGGTTATCTGCTGCACCACTGCCATCCTCCAGCATGGGCTCTGTAGTAGTATTGGCTCCTGCAAGGTGTCCTGTGTCCAGTGGGCCTTGATGGCCAATATTCCCAGAAAGAACAAGGCAATTGGCCACTTCTACTCTACTTCTAGGCACTTTTCCTTCTCAGCTCCAATTAGCCAAACAAAACATTCACTGGGCCAACAAATCCTTCAAAAGCGAAATGTTATGGATCCAATCAGCTTCACAACGGAGGAGGAAGTGTCACGATCTCCTCCTCTCGCCGATCAACTGACGTGTTCGATGGTCTACCCCTCAATTCATATACCTGGTGTCCTGCCGAAATAAAATGGACTGCTTACGGGTTTGCTCAAATCAATGGGTTCACCTTTGGTACTCTTGACTAGAAACACAGGAGTGATATTAGGACAGCTCTAGATTTTTCACATTTGCACTAATCACAGTGGTTTCTCTCTCGACTGGTGCAGGAATGTCTTTGAGCGCATGCGTGAGTAGTAAACTCTCATGGTGCATCCAGGTGACATGCGTCGCTATGAAACTGTTGGCCGC